ACAAAACAATGGGGTCATGCTAACCAAATCAATTTTAGATAATTGCTCAAACTTCAAACTCACTTAGTTCATATGAATACTAAAAGATATAAATACATGCAAAATCGAACTTCTAATCAAATCTGATTCTCCCTTATATTTTCCACGGTAAAAGTGTAAAACCAAACTTTAAAAAATCAGTTTCCTTTGGACTTTTCTCCCTTCCCTCCTTCCTAAGCACCAAACATAGCCCAAAGAAAATGGAAACCAAGAATCCAAGATATGGGTGCCAAAGACAATCATTTACCTGATATAGGTGCCATGAAACAAAAGCATCTGTAGCAACATAACTTAGGTGCTCTTTGGATAAAACCGGAGTGTCCCAATTTCCCAATCTTAGATTGCTTGGCTTAGGGAGCTACAGAGATACAAAACGCTCAATAGAATCTAGCACTAAAAGATCAAATATATATTAGGCCAAAAATCAGGTAAACACAATCAGATAAAGCAAGGCGAGCATGATCTTTTAGTTAATAATGAAAAAGGTGTAGGGAGCACTGACGAAGGTTGAAAACATTGACTCATAAGTCTAACAGATATTCCATACATATTTAGGATTCAATTATTTTAGTACATATGCTATATTGAATACAAATGGGATGCATTGTTACCAAACTTGTTTGCAAAGGAGCAATTCTTTCAATGAAGCTAGGCCTTAATTTTGGGAGCTCCGTCCAACTTTTGATTGGCTAGTGCAGATAAGTCTTCACAGTCTTCTAAAACTAATTATTTGAACCCAAAGAAGTGATTCTCAAAAAAACCATTGAGTAACAAAATCATCTTGTGAATGAGTGAATCAGATCTTAACAACCTAAAGGCTGTCAAATATAGGCCTCCTTGCCAAACAAATCCTTTTTTACTATTCACAAGTACACACATTCCACTCAACAACTTACAATTTTTAACAAATTTCGAATGGAATTGAAAAAGGAAGGGGAAGAAAATCACCTCTAAGGCTTTAGATGGTTTTGACCAATGGATTGGAAACGTAAGTTCAGAGCCGTTGCCGAAAGGGAGACCGAATCTGCACAGCCCAGGGAATTGCCACTGCCGCCGGGTTGAGGAGTCGCCACCGCCGTCGAGTTCGCCGTTGGGTCTTGAAGAAAGCATATTGGTATTAATCAACCCACAAATTTATGACAAAAAGAATTTTCCGGTAAAAATTGGGGAAAAATTGGGGTAGCCGATTACATGAATGGAAAGCTGTAACGCAGTACCTGTAATAGAGATTTCTTTCCTTCCGTGAAGATCTAACGCATCTAGGAATTAGGGTTGAATCATCCATAGTTTCCTTGCAGGTTTTCTTTCCTTCCGGGAAGAAGATGGTCGCCAAGATGAGAGAAAGAATCGGTAGGGAAGGAGCTTCCCCTTTCATTGGACGCGTGTCAAATTAGGAGCCTTAAGTTGCCACATGTCATCATTCTAAACGAGAAGGTATATGGTACAGCCGGTTGTACCTAGAAATAGGTACATCCGGGTTGTACTCATTTTAAAGTAAAGTAGTACTCATTCTCACACAATTATTTCATACAATTATTGATGGTGTAAATTACTTGACCGGTCAAACTATACTAGACCGGGTCTAGAATAGTCGGCTTGATTCAGTAAAGTAAAGAAAGTAAAAACACTCAGAATGACCGGTAAGACTGTAGGTGGAAACACCTGTAGCCTTTTTATATTAATAAAGAGAATGCACGAGTGCTTTTACAGGGGAGTTTAGAGAGAAGGAATTCGCATCCCCCTTTCTGAGGTTTACACGAGTATTTATACTAGGCTAGGGGGGGCAGGACCACGTGATCCCACGTGGAGGCACACTGCTCGGATGGTCAGAGGTGATGGACCTTGTCTTCTAGTCACCTTGTCACCTCGCTAGGGGGATTATTCCCTTTGTCGCGTACTGGTTTGGACAGATTCCTCCAGCATCTCCCTGATCTTCCAGCGGTGTGGGGCGCTATAATCCAAACAGCTCTAGATCCCCTTTCGCCGATGCTTTCCAATCCTTAGAACTACACCGGGTAATCTCCGAGGGATGAATTTATCGAAATTAGGGACTGATCTGAGTGACAAGGTACTTCGACCGGTACACCCGCTCTGCTGGAGTATACCGGTCATATTGTGATAGATCAAGCATCAAACTAACGACGATTAAAGTTCTTTTCTGGAATCATCCGGGTTGACCGGTCAACTTATTTGGTCTCCTTCTTTGACCGGTCATGGGTGGAATACACCCATCAATAAGCCCTCCACTTCTCGGTCATGCAATTTGTCATGAGCGGGAAGTAATAAATCCGAAACAGGACTTTAAATTTCAAATTCTGGCTTTTCCTGCTTCGAATTTTCAAATTTTGAATTTTGAATTTTTGAATCTCGCCACTTGTCGCGTACTGAGTGCTGCAACAGTTGGCTGCAGACCCGCCGCTTCGCCTGCCATAGCGCCATCATTGCGCCGCCCGTTGTGGCGCAATCTCAACGTGCCACGTCGCTTCTTTTTATCTCCCCTCCTCCTATATAAAGAGCTCCACCCCTCTTCATTTCTCACTCTTCGCAATTCCACTCTTCAGCGCTTTCACCGGTCAAGTTTCTCTCTCGCCTTTCAGCCCTCCGAGTCAAGTAAGCCTTTCTTCCATCTCTTTTTTCTTTCCCGGTTATGTCTCCCCTAGGTAGCGATAGGGTTTCGTCCTTAGAGGACAGCTCCTCTGAGGATTCCAACTCCTCATCTTTGACCGGGTCTGCTTCCCCTGGTTCCAGTACCGGTCAGGTTCCAAATTCTTCTATACCCAACCCGCAACCAGTTAACCAGATGCCCGGTAATGTTCTTTCGGGGAGGGATGAGCCGGTTGAAGAGGAACCGGGGCCATATGACCCTGAAAACAAAACCCGGGATGAGTGGGAGGAGCGGCTTCGCGAAGCCGGTTACTTTCCGCTCCCCACCTTCTACGTTCTCGAAATTCCTTCCCATGTGTCCAAAATTACTTTGAACAAAATTCATAGAAGGCTCCCGGAGGGGTATACCCTTTTGCATGAACACGACTGGCCCAACATTGTTGAACCCCACCGAGAGGATAGGATACGATTTCCCTTGACGCGGGCATCGTTTTTCCCCTTCGCCCCCTCCTCACCGAAGTATGTCATGCATTTAGGATTCTACCCGGCCAGATAACTCCTAACGCCCACCGGTATCTTCATTCTTTCGTAAATATCTGTTCCCACCTCAAAATTGAGTCTTCCTTGCGCCTTTTTCTTTTTTTTTTGAGGTCCTACCGGGCGGAACCGGTTGCGAAGGTTTTGTATACTTCAAAGGCCGCACCGGTAGGAAGTTTATTTCCGAAGTCCCACAGAGTAACCGGGGGTGGAAGGAAAAGTTTGTTTTCATCGAGTTTCCCCCTTTCGTCACTCCCCTGGCCGGTCTTAAGTGGAACGACCATCTGCTTAATCAAGAGTACGCCGCACCGGCCTCCGCTCCTGACTTGGAAGCGAGTCTCGAGGTCCTCATGCGCGGGGATCCTTTCA